AATGACTTGCCCGACCACGGAAATTTGAAAAGTGGGGCAGGGAGGAACTGTAGGAATGACTTGCCCGACCATGGAAATTTGAAAAGTGGGGCAGGCAGGAATTGTAGGAATGACTTGCCCGGCCATGGAAATTTGAAAAGTGGGGCAGGCAGGAATTGTAGGAATGACTTGCCCGACCATGGAAATTTGAAAGTGTGTGTGCGCTTGTACATGGTACCTTGTGGGGTATCGTAACAATGGAAGGTACCCCACAAGGCCTTTTGATCCTGTGGGATACTAAAGTGGTACCCCACAAGAATTTCACGAAATAGATATTTCAAATTTACTCAAAAAGGAGGAATTTTCAAGTGCCATTCATCTGTGAATTGAAGTGTTTTATATACGGTCGAAATTTCAACCCAGGAAACTGAATTTGGTTGAAATGGCAAAGAGTTGAAAGTCACAAAATTCTTCACAATCCGCTGTAATGATTTTTCCGAGATGAAAAAAATGGAGGGATGATTCAATATGTGGGGAGAACATATCCCCATCCCGCAGTATTTACGCCCACTGACTGAAATCAAGAATGGATCCTTTGCGATTTTATTATTTTAGAGATTGTGCGACAAACCTTGTTAAGTGTCACTATATATGAAGTGATGCTGAATATACAAGGCTTTAAAACGGAATTAACTAAATTAATTAAGCTGAAATCGCTGAAGGTCACCTTCAGCGATGACAGCTTGACAAACTGAATAATTTTTCGATATTCGTCAATACTTTGCTGAAATATGATTATTCTCTTGGGTATGCATCGGTATATTTGCAGCTCTTTCAACATTAACGATCAAGTAACATGCTATTTGCACTTTAGCACTGACGTTATAGCGCGTGCCACCGATGTCTTTTGAGCACAGGCAACCACGATTTAATACCAGTAGCGTCTTAAATGATACACCGGCGATTCATTTGACCAAAATGAGTACCCGACAGAGTAGGGTTGAATGCTATCAGGAAGAGACACCGTGAAATTGCTTACGGTTTCACTGTGTCTTTTGAAGTTGAGTATGGCTCAAAATATCCTGAAACGTTTTTGGTGCTATGAATAACAGTGATTTGCAGCTTGATTTGGGTTTTTGCCCTAAATGTCAGATGCAATAATTTCACATTTGATTACATTGTCATACAAAACAGCGACAAACTGCTTGCAGACAACAATGACTTGCGATATACAAACTAAAAATACTTAACTGAAGTGTGTGACTGCGGCTTTGCTATCCAAGCAGAATCATTTTAAAAGGAAAATTATCCTAATCAATTCGAGATTATCTACACAGTGATGGGTTCAAAGTGTAACACCAGTTTCTACATTTTGCAGACATGAGGCAAATCCTTAAAATAAAAGCCAAATTCTGAAACTCCGAAGCAAACATTTCTATGGACTTATCCATATGGAGTT